ACACTCGCATCCAGTCGTTGAGATGTGAAATGCAATTTGTTTTGTTTTTTCCCCGTTCGGGTAATAAAACACTCGGGCTCTTGTTTTCATTATTTTTTTTCTCCTCTCAACACTCCGCGGCACCGCAAATCGAAATCTCATTCGGAACGATTATTGCCTACCTACTTGTACAGTCAAGAAAGCGACCGGAGGAAACGTTGAAAATAAAAGTAGAAAGGAGTATAACAAAGAAGAAAAAAAGAGCTCACTCACTTTCCACACCGAAACAAGATTACAATGGCTCAGAGAAACAGCCACAAGGCTGGGGTACATAATACATTTATAGATATAACCGGCTTCGAATTCAAATGCGCGCGTATACATGTACGTATAATGTACCGGTGTATAACAACACATAGTCGTGTATAGCCCATTGCTCCATTTTCTTTCTCGTTCTGGGTGTACAACAATGTATATAATATACTTGCGGAGAAGAAGGAAAGCGAAAACACACCTTGGCCGTGGAAGAAAAAGAAAAGGGGGGGGGCTGTGCACTTGCTTTTTTGGTTCCGCCCGGCAGCAACGGCGGAGATATGCTAATCCCTCTCTTTTCCCTTTCTTTCGGCGCTTTCGGTTTTTTTAACCCCTTACTGCGCCATCTCTTCTTTTCTTACCCCTTCTGTATTCTCCTTTTTTGTTCGCCACCCCATCTTTGCGTAAAAGTGCTCGGTTGGAGATGATAAAATTTTCGAAAATAATCAGACTTTTTTCAAATTTAAAAGAGTACGAACGAGTAAACAGCCTCCACCACAGGTGCGCCATCATAATGTGCAACATCAACTTACCCTCCACAGCTCCAAGCATCTTTCAAGTATGTGTATATATATATATCCCACGAGCGCCTCGATTACCCCCGTTCTCACGCCATACATCCTTAAATAAATGTGCACAACACGACGAGTATATAATACGTGTATCCACCCCCTCCATGGTAATGCACCACTCAACGGCAGCTCGTGAGTCCTTTGACCGGCCTTGGGCGCGCGGAGGTGGCAGCCGCGTTGTATACACGCTCCGCGCGTGTACATACACACACCTCCACACATTCTTTGCTCTCCCGCCTGCAGGAAGACCTTTTTTTTTTTAAGGGTCTTTTGTGGAGGTGGAGGGAGCTTCTCTCGTTTTTGTCATTGTATGCGCGCGGGGACACGTGGAGAGCACCTCTTTACCTCTATCTGGAATACATCCGCGAGGGGGGGGTGAGCAAAAGAGGAGGAGGAGGAGAGCGAAATATTTACCCGCCGGCGGTGCGAGGGGGAGGAGGCCGGCGGAACGAGTTTCAAGGCCGCCCTTTGTCCCAATGCAACAACCCGCGCGTTTCTGTGTGCTGGTATGATGATATATATACACGCGTATACTTATACTTACGTGCATGGGTATTGAAAGATATCTTCTTGCCTCGTGCACACTGCGCGCGCCGTGGCCTATGAAAATTTATTGCCTCCCTCTTTCGCTGCTCTACGTGGCGTCGGACGTCGCGCCGATGTCTCTTTTTTTTCTCCCCCCCCCTCTCTGTACCCTCTTTCTTCTCTCTCTTTTTATTCATTTCGGTGTGTTACAGTTTATGCGCTATGAATTATCTGGGGGTCTGTCTGCTGCCACGAGATAGCGAGGCTATGGGTGGAAGTTTCAAAATCCATACGTGTGTACGCGGGAAGGGCTGACAGTCGCGCCGAATCTTTTGTATATATAGCTTTGGATCCCCTTCGTCTTCTTTTTCCTACGATACTCCGCTTTTTTTCTCGAGCTTGCGCGAGGGTGGAATTTCCACGGGATGTTGGGTTGTTCGGGTAAAACAAGGAATCATGACGTTGAAATAAAAAATATTTATTTCGCGTTCGATAAATTTCACTTTTGTTCCGCCAATAAACATCAAAATGATAATTTGTTCTTGGACAAATAATCCGTTTCTTCGTCGAATAGATCCAATCGTATATCTAACGATCCGCCCAATGAGTAAAAAATTGCGAGCGTTAAAATTAATTCGTCCCACAGACGCGTGCGTGTAATTATTACACTCCCCGCGATAATGCCTCGTAAACGGGCGAAATTGCGCTTTTAATAACCCCAGCGGGGAGTTAATTGGACGGACGTAATTTCGCAAGCGATGAGATTTTTCTGAGCTTGAAACTACAGGATCGGCTATGACTTCAAGGTTATACACCTATTCGTGTCTCGTGAAAGTTCGTTAAACAACTTGTGCATACAATAATCACGAACAAACACTGGATTATGGCACTCAAGTGGGTATATATATAGTTTTGCCGAATGGCCATTTTTCATACACTCCATGATTTTTTTTCACTTCTTCCATTAAGAATTTCGTTACTTAACAAAAAAAATGTACGAAGATGTAAATATACGCAAGTGCATCGCCAGGAACACGGTACAACTGTTTGCACGATAACCAACCAGATCCCTCTAAATATAAACCCGCGTTATAAAAGACACTCGAGAAGCGCTGCCGCAGCTTCTGCATCGGTAGAAAAGCAGACGCCTCGAAATTTAGATTAAAAAGAAAATTCCCCTCCCTCTCCCTTTCGTTTTATCGGTGCACGTAAAAGCTTATCGAACCGCCGGAGGGAAAAAGTACTCGAATATTTATACACACCCTTTTTCGAACGAATGAAAAGGATGGAGGAAAAACAAAAGGGAATGAGGGCACAAAAAATAAAATAAAATAAAGATCTGGCTCTCGGTGCGCGCCAAAAAAAACCTCTCAATCAGCATTCCGGTTTAGCTTCTCCTCCGGTCTTTTCATGGCTCGCCGCATCGCAGGTTATTTATTCGCAAGACGTCGAGCCTCATTTGCCTCTTCCCGCGCGGTGATTCAATAGCCAGCGGGCCAGCGCTATAGGCTCTAGCCCAGTTTGCCGGCTGCCTACCTTATAATTTTTTTTCCTTCTTTCGAGAGAATCTCTCGTCGTCCCTCACAACGAAAATCGACTCCACACACGCAGTGCATATAATATGTATAATAGTGCACAGTCTCGTTAATACAAGTGCGCGGGCGTGAGCCAAACTTAGATCAAATTAGATCCACCTGATGGAGAGCAAGCACCAAACAACTTGACCATTACACTGCACACAGGTAGTCTTTAGCTGTTCCGTATGGTCTTCCTTCTCTTTTAAGGTGTATAGACTTGCTGCTGCCCCTTGGGTGCAGGTACAATATTTATTGCGGACCAAGGATATTCAGAGGCATATGGCATGGCATTGTTATTACATACCTACGCATTGTCCGACGTTTGAGGAGTTTACGATGAATCTCTTTGACATGTATACACTACATCCACTTATCAAAACGCGCTGGGCTGTAAATTGTCCTCGAAATACGCACTTAAATTCATACGGCACTGCTGTTGCTCTAAATGATGTGTGTCTGTGTATATATATATATAAAGTGT